ATATGGTCACAGCACGCTCTTTTTATGGCACAAAACGACAAAACTACTCAAGTATTCCAAAATATGGTCATTAAGTAGGTGTATGTGTACTTAACAAGTCCCTAAGATTTTAAGCCGTTACATGCTAATAAAGCAAAGGGAGCTGGACATGCCTGCAGAATGCAGATGAAGAATCCTGATTTACAATGTTTATATATTATATTMTTGTCTATACCTACCAACAATATCAAACAATAACGTATTTATGAAATGTCTAAAACCCAGGCCGCCATATTATGTATTATAATCGAATCTTTTAGTATGACGCACGATACGTGTGATGTATAGGTATACCTTCGTATGTGTTAGTGGCCCGTGTCGACGACCGTCGTCGTCGTCGTCTTCTCCGCATAGCAAAGCYGAATAATATTATATAATAATATAATAGATGACGTGCGTTGTACTCGTCGTGACAATCGTCATAGTCGTCGTCGAGTCTCCCAGACCATTTCGTAATTAGTCACACGCACGATATAATACTCGGCAGGGACAATATTACAATAATTGTTATTTTGTATAYACCGTCCATAGATATAAGTCGGGACGTTTAGGCTGGTATTGTGTATAACCATCACATCGCACGAGAAATTGAGAATTATTGGTTGTCTAAAAATTCTAAAAATTGTAGGAAAATAACGAAATTAATTCGTATTAATGACGGCAAGACGAACGCCACAATGACATATATATGTATATACATAATATGTATAYCTACRTAATATTGTGTATCCRATATTATGGACGAACTGAAATCTCGACCGCTTATCTCTGTCTGCGGGTGATAAGTACGTGACAATAATTACAATGTTTAAGCGTGAAGCTAGATAAACGGGTAGTTAGCAAAAATTGGGGGAGACAATAGAATTCAAATAGTTCGTACCTCACATTGATATTGTTATCGGAGTGGTCCATAGAAAACAACTCAACCCTGAAAAAAAACCCAAAAATTGTTGGATATAAGTGCGCCTAAACAAACCCAGCAAAACTCCTATCAGAGATGTTTGTGTTTTGTCTAAAATAATATATCTAAAAAAAAAACTSTTAGTGACATATTATAGGTAACGTGACCATACGGAAAACAATATACAGTCGTCTGCAGTTTAGATAATATTATAAGTTAGAAGCTCAAAATATTTCATTAAGCGTCGTAATAAATTTTTATTTTTAATCCAAATGACTCTAAAACTTCAAAAAATAAAAATAAAAACTRTCATCTAAAACTCACCGTCATTGTCGACCGCCGGACYGGATCTGTCTTGGGTCGTTGAGTCCTCGGGGTCGGAGTCGATGTGTGGTATAGAGTTGTCGGCGTCATCGTACACGCTGCTGCCATTGTTTTGCTGCTGCTGTTGTACGGCGACTTTTGTGCGATCGTCGTTGTCAGTGGCAAATGTCTGATGTGGTAGTCGTGTCGGCGACTGGCACGTCCGGTCTTGACATCCGTAGCAAGGGTACGGTATCCGGTCCAGTGGCACCCTGTGAACCGACCTGTCGACCACTGCCACCAAGTGTTTGAGCGTGGCGCTCAGCTGTTGCAGGTCACCGGCCAGCATRGCCGCGTTATCGGTGGACAGTCGGCTCCGGAGCCGGGCACCTGAGCCCACCCAGTTCACCGTCAGTCCGGCACTGGCCACGTCCAGTGACAGGTACGCGTCAGACGGCGGTGCGCCGCCTGAGCAGCAACCGATTGGCGCCAC